GTATGGATGGTGGTAATTGCCCCTTGGGATAGTCACAAGCTAAATTCAGAGCTATAAAATCATTTGCCTAATTGATTTCCAAGTGCCCATTAAATAAGATTACATAAAACACACGCTGAGACTTCCCAGTAAAGTCCCATAGGTTAAGCTCTCTTAACTGTGTCACATAATTAGGAATCTATGATAATTATGCAGGTAAATGTTGTTTAATATTGCAAATAAGTTAACAAAACAAAACAAAAAAATAGATGAATAACAGTGTCTTATTATCCTCAAACACATTGGGGTTATTCATATCATGTTATTACAGCAAGATTAAAAGTTTGAATAGCAGCTTTAATGGGATATTTTTGTGTTTTCTTTTTAATTTTTTTTTTCAAACACTGGCATTTTCAGCTCCCATCCACCTGAAGCTCTTCACATTTTCTGTATTTCCACATAACCAGTTGCATTGGTTTTTATGTCTTTAAACATTATGTAATATTATTTTATGCACTGTCATCATTATTTAGATATTGGGATTTTCATTATGTGAATTTGGTCCTGAAACTGTAATCTTATTGCAGGGGTGGATTGAGGCCATCTTCTGGGTCTTTCAGATTTTAAAGTTCACATTGATGGGCATCTCTTTTTTCTGTTGGAAGACCATCAAATATGTAGGATGGATCAACAAAGATAATTTGGAATACTGTCAGAAAATATCTCTGGATCAGCTCCTGTTATTGATGATGTCACCTGTTGTGCATGATTAAATTTCAGCGTTGATTGACAGTGCTATTGTAGGCATCAAAATTGACAAAATGAACCATTTTCTGCATTTTTATTTTGTGTTTTTGTCTGTACATTTGACAGCTTTGCTGCCTTGTTATTCTTACAAATGCTTATTATGTGGTCATCTTTTTCATTTTGTCTCAGAACTGTTTGCATTGAATGAGACAACAGGAAGCCTTTCCACCAACAAGTCATTAGTGGGTCACTCAGGAACATACAGATTTACTGTAGAAGCTACAGATCATGGCGTACCTGAGAGACGTGTCTCCCTAACAAGAGTGGTGATAACGGTATTAGCAACCAATCAGCGAGCTCCCCGTTGGATCTGGCCAGCGGGTAATAATCAGACTATTGAGGTGCTTGAGGTAAATGAAAGTGATGAAGGACTTTTTTATTGTAAAGTGTTCATAAGTTCATGGATATCAGTGATTCATATAAATAGTTGGACAAGTGATTTTTAGCCTTGCGTGGAAAAAATAAATAGATGCATTAGATAAAATGACCATCTTACACCAATTATAAATCATTTGAATGTCAATGGAACAAGCTGACTGCTTTGATATCCTGTTACCCATTTCGGATATCAACAAGTGCCCTATTTTGATAATTGTTTATTTAGAAATTCCCTAATCTTTTACGGTTATTTTCTAGTAATGGTATAGTGTGATGTCTTTAAATTACAATTATAAAAGTTGAGCAGAAATGTTCGTTAGTTTGGTACTGGATCATATATGATAATTATCAAACAAAGCCAAAATACAGTTATAAAAGTTGTTGTGGCAGTGTTATTAGTAATTTCCTCTTCACTTTATTTTTTTCTTTTTTTTTCTAGAACCAGTATGTAGGCTTGGTGGTCACTGACAAGCCATATGCTGTGGATGATGATGATGGCCCCAGTGGGAAAATCACATATGGTTTCTATGACAATAGATTTGTAAAGGAAACTCCAGAATTCACCATTAACCCTATCACTGGTGTCATTTCAGCCAAGGTGATATTTGATAGGGAGGAAAAAGATACATACACAGTAGGTGTTTTAAAGAAATTTTTATGCTCTTGGTAATTTAGTAGGACAGATATGTGTAATATATATTCATGCAAAATAATTCATAAAACTTATTCAGTAGGCATATGTTTTTTTCACATGCTACCAATTAAGAAACTTAATGTCTTGTTAAAACTGTAGAAAATTGTTATTTTTATAACAGCCTAGTTCAAAGATACAGTGATGATTTAAGGGAATGAATGCGTCTTATATTATTATATTATTGTCTTTTCAGCTGCTGTTAGTTGCCCGTGACAATGGTCAGCCTCCACTGCAGTCCAACAGGTACTTGACTGTGAAAGTGCTAGATGTCAATGATAACCCACCGTCATTCCCAACATTCCAAGTAAGTGTTGAGAGAAAATGAAATGATTGGTTTCACTGGTATTCATACACATATTTAGGAGTTCTCAGTTGTTAGTTTAAAAAAAATAAGTTGTCTGCCTACTTTAGATTTTACACTAGCATACTAAAGCCTATCAGGGCAGCTTTAACTGCCAACAGACAACTTTTTATGACTGAAGGGCTATGACATCTTTAGTATGCCATGTTCAAATATTTCAATTTGGCAGGTATATTTCCTTAACCAAAACATTTAAGACCACTTTGAGGTGTAAATAATTATTTTTTCTAACATAAATGGAGATAAAAAATAAACCATCTTCATATGTAAGTGAAAGTGATTTTGGATAACCATTTTGTTAGATTTTAATGAGTGAACTTTTTAAAAAACAATTATATGATGAGAAATAGTGTTATGTGTGAATATAAATGTAGTGATTTAACTTTTTTTTTACCAGAATGGAAGTACAATACCAGTGACATTCTTTGTTCCTGAAGGAGTGAAGGATTACTTTGTTGGTCAAGTCAATGCTACAGATAAGGATACAGGAAGATATGCAGACATTTATTACTACATTGACGGTAGGTTACCTTTCTTTTCTTCAAACAAAAATATTTTTAGCCACTGTATTAATTCTGTGACATATTTTTTTCTGCTAAGACAATTTTAAATTACCCATTTATGGGGTTTGTATTATTCTTGCTTTTTAGATTTGACAGTTTAAAATATGTATTTGCTTTAATGTGGATATTACAACAGGTAAAGAGAAATGTTTAGTTGGAGCAAATGAACAGAGAAAAATGTATGTTGTATGTGGTGGGACTCACCTCAGCTTCAGATAAGTCAATTCTGCTGAATATTGTAAGTCTACTGATTAATTTTGATCACTCTCCAGGTGGCAATTTCAACAACTCTTTCAAGATAGATAATAGAACAGGAAGAATCGTCACTAATAAGGCGTTAGACAGAGAAACCATCAGCAAGTTTGTCCTAACAGTCAGAGTGACGAATAATCTCAATGATGATAATGTCATTAATGTTAATGAAGAGCCTTACCCTAACCCAACATATGTCATGGTCACCATTATTGTTACTGATACTAATGACAATGGACCAATATTTACACTTAATGAGTATTATGCCTGTAAGTATGATGTTTTATTTTTCTCTGTAAGTTTTATGTTAACATTATTTATATCTTGCTTTATTGTCATCAACATCTATATTATCATCACTGTTATTGCTGTCTGAAATGATTTTTTGGCAATTAGTACAACTCGATTAAAACAATGTTTTCCTGGTTAAACTAATTTGTTGTGGTTAAATATTTAATTTTTGAAGATGATTTCATAAACCATTGAGATACTGATCACACTTCTGTTCTCCTGCTTCATAATTTTTATAATTTTAAATCAAAATCTTTAATATTTTTATTGAGAAATTTCTTGTTATTTATGTATATATTTATATATTTTTATTTATTTATTTATTTATTTTTTGCAGTTGTCCCATTAAGGGCACCATTCTGGTACTTGGTCACAGATGAAATATCCGCAACGGACAAAGATGGTGGCTCTAATGGCAATGTCACCTTCCGTATTGATCAGACTATTGTGTCAAAGGAAGATACTAATATAATATACACAGTTGATAATGCAATGACCATTGGTTTGTTGAATGCTACTGTGTATACCATATCTCTTATGGATAATTACAAAGATGTTCGATTTGATATGGTCATTGATGCATCAGACTCTGGAGAAATACCAAGGTCTATGAAGTCTAATCTAAAGGTTGGAAACGTTTACTCTCATTTTTGTATATTTTTTGTATATTATATTTTATTGGGTGTAATATGACAATTTTTAATATTAAAGTATATTATTAATGCAACTGAAATATCAACAGCATATATGTTTTAATTTCTAACTCATGAGGATTTACAAAATTTGCCAAATATTTATCTTTTATTAAATGCAATAACTTCATAAATGCATGATTGGTAATTAATATTCCTATTTACAAAAATATTTCCAAATTTTATTTAGGTCTGGGTGGCAGATGAAACAAATGAGATTGTCCTGCTCATAAAACAACCACCATATTGGGTTCGAAGATACAAGGAAAAAATCATACAGTATGCACATGGTTTTATACTATTTTTTGCTTTAATTGTAATAAACTACATTATTTTGCAATATCTTTCACTTTTCTGTTAAAAGGGATTGTTGGTGTCTACTGCATTGTATTAATATGAGCAATGCTTTTTTTTTCAGACTGATAACTTCAATTGTGGGAGCAAAGACAGTATTCATTGATGAATCTGAAATCAGATTCCACCAAGTTGGTGATTATGTCAATGAAAAATGGTAAGTATTTTTTAAGAAAATCATCATAGAGACCAAATGACATAATTGTTCAGTGCTATATTTGGTTGCAGCCCATTATATTAGTCCTGATTTTTCACATTCATTGGTTACACAGCAAAATTGCAGTCAGTATGTTAGTTTTGATTTGAACATAAATTGGCTGATTGTTCTTATTTCCTACTTCAGGACCGATGTTGTCATCTATGTGGTTGACAACAAGACCAACTTCCTGATGGATGGGAAAGCTGTCGCAGCTACACTTAAAGGGAAGCTGACAGGAGATGAAAAAGGAGCGTTTGCTTTATTACATGTGGCAGATGCACAGGTACGTAAAGAACACCTTATCACAAGGCCTTTTCTGCTGATTTTGAGTTGTCACTGGTGTAACTTATTGACAGTCTGTGCTTAACATTTTATCAGTAACTTAACATTGTAACTGACATTTCTTTTCCAGTAGCATGAATTGAAAATGTTACGATATGACTATTGTTTCTTTCAGCCTGGTGTAGCTGCAGCTTCGACTGGTGGAGGAGTAGATTGGGGTGCCCTTGCTGGAGCCATTGCAGCTCTTCTGGCATTGTTATTACTGCTACTGTTGTTGTTATGTTGTTGTTTACCATGCTGTGCTAAGTGCTGTGGAGGGTAAGTAACATGCCATATTAATAAGTTTGTATGTCTAAGGTTGTTATGTGGTATTCACCCTCTTGATTGAGTATTGCTTTCAATATCTTATACAATGTTTATAGTATCTCAAGTCTGTCATATTAACTGTAAATGTGTCGATCTGTCAGAGTTGAGCTTGCCCTTGTTTAAATATGGATAGATATAAAAGAGTAGTGTTAACAAGATCTACTTGTATCTATTAAAGGTGCTGTGCCCCTGTTGGTGCAGGTGCTGGAAAAGAAAAGTTAGGTGAGTAGACTTGTGTTGCTGGAGCTTTTCTTCCCTCTGAAAAGAAAATTGACATTTTTATCAAAGGAATTTAGACAATATGATATACCTGGCCTATAGCCGGAAAACCTCATGGGACTCAGGGAGTCTAAAAAAATTGGACATTTTACCCCCATTAGTTGACCCAACTTGAGAAATTGCATAAAACATAGATCAAATTTTGATCCGGACCAGGTCTTTATGGCCAAAAGGGTGTTTTTTTTTTTTTTTCATCCCGAACCCCTTGCCACTAGGTCTGTATTCAGAAATGGACACTTTGAGACTGCAAGATTTGTGTGCAAAGATTCAAGCAAGGCTATGTTCAAAGTAATTCCAGATGATGCCAAAGACAATTATATCTATTTCAAGGGATTTGTTTGAGATAATTAACCAACCTACAAGGGGACAAGTTCTGCAGAATCTACTGAGTGTTAAATAAAAGGAAATATTTTAAGTATGTTTGATAATTTTTGGATTTGATTCCAAACCAACAATAGGACTAAAAGCAACTAAAGAGACAATAAGGGTAATTAAAAGTAGCTTTTTAAGAAAGTTTATTTTATTAAACTTAAATAAACTAGATAGAAAAAAAAAGCATTTATTTGGATTTGCTTCTTTTCTCAGCTGCAGTAAGTGCAGGAGCGGGAACTGGTGCAGGGTAAGTGTTTTAAAGAATAAAGTAAACAACTTTTTTAAAACAAATAATATATACTTTGAAGATTCCCAGTTACTTATTAAATGTAAAATTGAATTTGTATGATGTGACAGTGAGAAATATACTTAAGGTTTTACAATATGACACAAATGATGAAATATTTATGAATCTTTTCCTTTGTTCTAGATATGGATATGGAGCAGGCAGTGCATATGTAAGTATTTTTCAATCACTGTCTCTAGTGTTAGATATGTACGGTAACCATGATATTCTTTTCTCAGCTGCAGTAACCATGATATTCTGCGCTCTTTTTCATCCTTTTGGAGAAATATTATTTGTCAATTACCTCCTATTAATTAATGAGAAAAATGCTTGATTTTCTAGGGATATGATTCCTTCAACAACCAAGCCTTTGAATTTGATGAGCTACATAGCACAGGGGGAGTGGTAGCAGTAGCTGGTGGTGGAGCAGGTGGTTACTCCCATGAAGAAAGGATCGAGCGAGAGCAATTTGAGTTTGCCAGCATGGAGAGAAGTGGTGTCGAGCAGGCGGTAGAGGCAGCAGATGAGGTTGATGCAAACTACACCATTGTGGCTGGTTTGGCTGGAGGAGAGCAGGGAGCAGCGGCAGCACAAGGGACAGATGAGTACACCATTGTTGCTGGCTTGGCAGGTGGAGAGCATGGAGGGCAGGCCCAGATTGCAGAGTCTGCCTTTGTTGGTACCATTCATGCCACTACTGCTGGTGGGACCTCCACTATGAGATCAGGTGGAAGCAGCAATGGCGGCGTCACAATCCGCACTGGACAGTCTTCCATGAACCATGTTGATTCTGGTCCTGCCGCTTCTGTGTATTCAGAATCCATATACAGCAGCAGGGATGGCTCAGCTTATGGTGTCCCAGTTGGTACAGCAGGATTTACTATTCAGACAACTGAAACTAGAATGGCTGCTCCACCACCAGTTGCTGGTTTCACCATCCAGACGACAGAAACAACAAGAGCTGCACCTCCACCAACTGCAGGTTTTACCATCCAGACAACAGAAACCCAGAGGGCAGCACCTCCTCCACAAACTGCTGGTTTTACCATCCAGACAACAGAAACCCAGAGGGCAGCACCTCCTCCTCAAACTGCTGGCTTTACTATTCAGACCACAGAAAAGGTGACCTCCTCCCAACCCCCACCGCCACCACCTCAGCCCACTGGTCAGTCATGGCATTCTGGAAGTTTGACCTTCCGACCAGAAGTTGGCTCACCAGTGCCCCAACATGGCATGACCGTTCACACTGAAGAAGTGGTACAGCAGCATGCCCCTCCAATGGTTCAAAGCCCCAATGGAACCCTGCACTCTGGAAGCCTTACCTTCCGTGCTGATGACTTGCCATCTCAGAGATCTGCTGGTGGAACAATGCATACAGGTAGTGTGACCATACGCCCGGAAGATTTACCTGATGCCCATCTGGCTGGCGTCCATGCTCCACTGACTGGGGTCCATACTACGACCACCTATGGAAGATCTACTGTCCATCCTGATGATCATGTCCGCACTGGAACCATGGTGTCAGGTGGCAGCAACACAGTGCGTACAGGGACAATGCAGAGCAATGGTAGAGCCAATAGCTTTACACATTCTGGTTCTGGAGGTCCATACACAAGTGTAGAGAATGGATTTACTGTGGTTCATCCACAGTAAATGAGAAATATATGTATTAATTATTACTATTATTATTATTATTATTATTATTATTATTCCACATTTTATCTATTATGCAGTATTTAGACAATACTTGGGGAAAAAATTCTTATTCTTCTTTATTGTAAAATGTTTTTGTGCCATACTTATTTATTTTAGTTTTTTCACTCTTTAATGCTTGTCCTTAAGTCTTCCAGTAATAAAGGTTTGCTTAAAGAAATTCTAGTATTGTACTTTTTGTGCTTTAAAACCAATTTATATGCCACATTTTGAATACCCTTAATTAAATTTGCCTTTATTAAACAGAGTACACATGTTCATTACTCTTACTAGAGCTTTGGTAAAAACTTTGCTTTACATATTTTATATTTATTTGCACAATGTTTTCCTATCGTTTTTTTTTTTTTTGCAACAGTGAATACTTATACAGCACTTTACTTTTAATTGTATTTTTCAGAACATTTAACATGTATGACATATTGCAATTACATAATGTTACATATCACATACGTACTTTGGTGCTATATTATTAACCATTGTCTTTGGTTTAATTCATATTATCGTGTTATATTTCATAGTCATTGTAGGTAATACTTGCACTTCAATTGTTATTTTAATCCCCATTTTGTTTACACTTTAACATTTTTAATGGAAAGGTTGCAATGTAATATAATGAGAATGTTTTCACTATTAATTTCATTTGTTTAAATCGAGCTATTGTTTGAAAAGGGAAACATTAAATGCAGTAGCACCTTACTTATGTACCATAACTTGAACAAGATAGAGTTGATGATGATGATATAACATAAAATTTTTGATGTAATTGTGTAAAATTGTTAAACTTTGGTCTAGGCTTTAATATGTTTAGGCATGTCAAGGATTTGTTTCAATCATGCGTTTTTCATTAGATGAATATAACCTGGCTGAAGTTGTAAATCATAACTGTTTGAATCCAAAAGTGTTTGACCATTGAAAACTTTTGATAAAGCACTGTAGCAAGTGTTGGTCAATGAGCAACATTTGTTGAGGAAAGAAGAAATAAAGATTAACTTTTGAAAAAAAAAGTGAAAGATTAGAATGATTCTTTTTCGGATATTTTCTAGCAAGGGAGTCATGTCTTTACATCCCTTAATCGTTTCTCCCTCTTGTCAAAATTATGATATAACCTGCATCAATATGGTCTCATATCATTACTCCCCTTTCATTTATTTTTGAATGACCATTTTAATTTTTGACCAATGGGAAGTAAAAAAATAGGGCTAGTAATGTGCAGGGGAGTTACAGTAATTCTGCAAGCACCTTAAATGGCATCCTTTTCACTTGTATTGAACCAGTTTCTACTTTTTTGACTGAAAATAATATTGAGGGGTGTACTGGTGTGTACCATACATTAGGATTTGTAGATTACTTTTGATATTTTGATACTATTGGCAGACCTGTCAAAATTACTAATCTTGGTGGGAGTTACTCCAATTTGGGACATATCTCCCAATTTGAACTACAAATCTCTGGATCTATCAGTCTTTTCTCTCTTTCTTTTTACATATTAGATGTGCAGTGACTTCATTCAAGGAAACGTGATGTCACATATATAATTGCTTTCCTAGTTTCAATGATGGAGGGTAGTGTTTGCAGAAAACAACTAAAGCACTCCGAGAGCGCAGACCTCCGCCAAGGCAGCAAAGTCTCCACCCAATGCCGTTTCACCCCTAAATTTTCATTCTATAATGATTTAGTTTTTTTGGTTATTGATTATTGATTGATTATTGGTCCGGATCACCGCCAAAAACAAATCATCTGTTCCTTGGTCCACTTCTGACAGTTGCTGAAAATTTCATCAAAATCAGTCCATAACTTTTTCTGTTATGTTGCTAACAGACAGAGAGACAGACAAACTAATGGAACCAAAAACATAACGTCCTTGGCGAAGGTAATAATGAGGAAATGCTAAAGACAACAAAAGGCGGGTCTCAGTCTTCCTCAGTTAGTGTTTAAGTGGACACCACCTGACCCATCTGAGAAAGCAGACCTTCCAAACTTCCTGGCTACATGCCTTGTTATCCAAAATATTTAGATATTTTTCGTCTTTTGCCAAGTTTTGGTACATGTAGCTGCATGAACATAAAAACAATAGATTCGCATCGCATTGCATTGTTGGTTCTTTACCTGAAATGGCTCTGCGAAACTGGAACCCTGTGTCCAGTAAAAGGCGTGAAAAGAAGTTCTACCATATGTCTAAAATGTTCAAAGATGAAATATAGTGTATTTGAAAGTTTCAAGATGAGTCTGAAGTTTGGCTTTAGCAACTAAATAGGCCTATAGTAATTGTATTTAAAACAATATTGCTAAGTTTGTTAGTTGTAGGTTGTATCACTGCTTATGGAGAAAAGGGTGGGATTACGAAAAACATAGTTCTGGATAATTTAAAAAAAAAAAGTTCATTACAAGAAAAAAAAGGAACAGCATTTTTTGTACATGTGTTGGTGTGCTTTGTGTGTCTCAGGGTGGGGGACGTAGGACGTGCAAGGAAATCTCCCTCTCTGGCAATTGTCAATGTTCACAAGTATGTTAACTATTAGTATTAATATTCCTCTAATTTTCCAAGTAACTTTGTCCAAGGAGTTATATTATAACTCCTTGCTTTGTCAAGACTTGACACTAATTATAAGTGTTTGCTGATGATGAGGGCTCGTCTTGTTTAGTACATAATTGGACAAATCGGTGGTAAGTATTATTCTTTTCATTCCCTTAGTGCTACCCAAACAAACCGTGGCTATGCCACCGCAATCAAAGAATGGAGTGTCTGGTGAAGATGTTTGTTTTGTAGCCGTGCCAATTTGATGAGGCAAAAGGCTTCTGTTATTTAATACTTAGCGTTCAATTAAGGCGACGATTGATCTGATGTATTGGCAGTAGTGATTTCAGTTGGCTAGTAATCCTATTTAGTACTACCCAGTAGTCACTCACGTCACTCGTATATAAACTAGATGCGAAGGAAAATTAAATTAAATTGAGCTAAATATAGGTAAGTAAAATCATACAGTAACCAAACTTAAAGGGGCTATATTTAAAAAAGAATGAATAAATAAATTAATTAATTAATTTAATTTGTTCTGCAATGCAGAAAATTTCGACCCGAAAACTTTTATTTCATATGTGATATATGAATAATCGGTTGAAAAACATTGTTTAAAAGTTGTATAGTTACACACGCTAAATGTATCACGTTGTAAGTTATGTTTCATATAATGTTTTAACAGTTTTTTTTTTTTTTCAAATAGATAAAAGGAAATAATCAATTGATAACATATGGCCTTATAATCAGATGTGGTGGAACGTTTATAATATACTGTATAAAACAAAATTATATTCACAGATATACATTTTTTCAGACATCTTTAAGCTCCCAGTGGTGAAGTTTAGACCAAGTGCAATATGGCTGGACAAGAACTTCCTCTCGTTACGCAAGTTGCAGAGTTTCAAGACATGGGGGAAATTAACAATGGCTTTGATGACACAGACTTTCACAGACCAGCAGATTCCAATCTGCAGGCAGAACATAGGGATACGGCTAATATACAAGGAGACTACTTTGGAGCCACAGAACATGGTAACTCTGCTGTTGTACCTGTAAGTGACCCAAATTCAAGAAGTTTCGCTACTTATTTTGATGCCCCTGATGGTCATGTGAATGTAGAGGATAGCTCTGATGCCCCGGACTATGCAATGTGCTGCTCTTGTTGTTGGAAATATGGTGGAAATTCGGTTGACATGGCTGCACACTATACAGATCTGCCTACTCTACAAGAGGAAAAGGATTTAAGCACAAGTTCAGAAGATTCAGCAGAAGTAAAAACGTACATGGCTCAAATAAGTCATTGTTTGAATACTAGCCAAAAGACAAAAGTCATGAATGAGTTAATGTATGTTGCTCGCACTGGATTTGTTAACAGACTGAAAGTCACTCTAAATGTGATTAAAACGTGCTTGGATAGCCAATCTGCCAACCAGTTCCTGTTGCACGACTGTACAGGGGAGTTAAGTGAAACTCCACTTCATGTTGCTCTTATCTACAATCAAACAGAAGCTGCAAAAATTCTGATTGATCACGGAAAAGCCAATCTGGTCATGAAACCTTATACCCACTGTCATTATGAAGGAACTACAGCGTTGCACTTTGCTGTTGTCAATGGAAATATAGAAGCCATTGATAAAATGGTGTCAGTACTGAATGATGAACAGAGGAGTGAGCTTCTGCATACTGCAGCTACTGGGACGTTTTTTAAAGAGAAGTTCAAGGCCAGTGAGCTGCCTCTTACTCTCTCAGTGTGGTGTGGTTACAATGATCTTTTTGATAAGTTGATTCAGTATGGTGCAAGTCCCTTTCAAACAGAGTCCACCACTGGAAACAATATCATCCACTCCTTGGTTCTGTACTCTGAACAAAATGCAGATTTAGCAGTTCAGATGTACCATTTTGTGCTGAATAGCTTCAAATGTCATTACCACTGTAAGGGAATGAGAGAAATGAGAGGAAACTCAAATATGATGCCAGAGAGAAAGGGGGTTCGCTTCATGCAACAAACTCTGCTACAGCAATCAAATAAGGATGGTTATACTCCTTTGGCATTGGCAGCTAAGTGTGGTTTCCCTGAAATGTTTCACAGTATTTTAGGTACTGAAGGTGTGTACAAATTTACACTGTGGCGATTCGGTCCTGCAAAATATGAGCTGTATGACATGACTGAAGTTGATACCCTGAAAATAGAGGGTAATTCCAGTGCTTTCGAGTTACTGATATATGAACATAAATCCTTTGAAAGCAAAGGGTCCTTAGAATGTCTACAGTCTCCCCCTATCAAAAAGCTGATAGATCTCAAATGGAAGAATTACAGAGCAATCCATTATACATGGGCAATGCTCCACCTTTTGTATTCTATCATTTTCACTCTGTGTGCTGTGTTTAGACCTCTGCAACAACAGGCATCTAATAGCAGCTCTTCATGTGCCTCAAGTACAACATATTATACCAAGAGGAGCCTTGACAGTACTATGAGTGATGTCCAAGGGCAGCTTTTTATGGCAGGTGCTATATTTGTAGTTATCATGGCAGTGTGTTACTTTGCCTTTGAGTGTGTAGATGTAGCCTTGTCTCTTAAACTACTTTTTGGGAAGAGAAACTACAAACCCTCCATGGCAGTCATTTTCAAGCCAGATCCCTTTCGTACAGTATCATGGTTTAGTTCTCTGTTTACCATTACTTGGTTTATTCTTCACATGCTCCGCCATGATTCTGAAGACACTTTTCTTTCACTTGCTGTTGTCTTTACATGGCATTTTGGTCTGTTTTTCTTCAAAGCTAATCAGAGTGCTGGTTTTCTCACTGTAATGATCTGGAAAATGTTAGTTGGTGATCTCGTTCTTTTTATGGAAGTTTGCATCATTATGTTACTGGCATATGCAACAGGGATGTATGTTGTGTACCAAGAGGCAGCTGAAGGTGTCCCTACTGATATGTCCTCATTTGAACGAAGTCTTTTCAAATTTTATGATTTGACCTTTGGTCTTGCAGAATTCGATGACACTGACAAGTCGCACTCTCCAGTGATTGCAAGATTATTGTACATGTTTTTTCTAGCTCTGGTGGTATTACTCTTGCTGAATATGTTGATAGCAGCTTTTAGTGCCACATACAGCAATATTGACCAGTTGAAAGGAATAGGTTGGAAAAAGTTGAGATCAGAAGCCTTGTTATTGATGGAGCGAAGGTTGTATGGACTTCATGGTAAAAGAATGGGAAGTGGATATGAGATACATAACATTGAAATATGTGGAAAGAAGACATATCGCTGGTTTTTACCAGTTGAAAATCTTGACTATCACACAATGAGTGGTTCATCTAAGCCAGAATATTATGATATATGAAACAGTATTATTTTTGAAAAAAATATTTCATTTCACTTACTGCCTTGAAATGATGATAATGACATATATGACCGTATATGACTTAGAAACTCAAAAAGTCTATCTCACTTTATGTCCTCTATTGAACAGCTTGCTCATAGACAACTTTTTTGTCAAGACTTCCTGATATTTGCAAATGAAATATTTTATATTGTCATATTATAGAAATCGGCTTGCAGTCTCTGTACTGGTATGTGTGCTGCATATATACACCTGTTTATAATTTTGAAAATAAGCAGCCCCATACATTTCTGAATTCTAATTGCCAAAAACATATAGCTGTATTATAGATGTCAATATGCATTAATTATTATTAAATTTACAATGTTCATGTCATTTATATTGCCTTTACAACATTTACATTCCAACTTTTTACAACAGTCAGCAATTTTGCTGACACTCATTTTTTCATTTTGTAATATTTTGAATGATCTGAATGGGGATTATAATATTATTGTGTATTCACAAATATAAAGAAAAAATCCCCTGGTTTTGTCAACTTTATGTACTTTGTATGATCTTTTATATTGTTCCTTGATTTTTCTTTTTTCTTCTTTTGTTTTTGTTTTTTAATGTATTATCGGAATTATATTTTGCCCTTTTTCTTGATTACAGTTAGGCCCTTTTCACATTTTACAGTTTAATTGCTGTATCACACCAGTTTGACTGGTTCTGTCATGTTATTACCCTGTGAGGCTGTGTGTGTGTGTGTGTGTGTGTGTGTGTGTGCGTTTGTGTGTGAGAGAGTTAATCCACTTTAAGAAGCCTCAATGTACTACCAATAAAAATTAATCTGGTTAACTGGCCACGTTCCCTATTTGTCAATATACGTAATAACCAGTCTAATTATTTTTTCCAAAAGAATTAGTCTGCTGGATCCTTTAATAACAGTGACCATCCTGATTTATTACAGCATTTTACATACATAGATTATAAGTCATACTTTTACATACTGCAAAATTGTGATAATTTAAAAAATAAAATGTGCATCTCATTTTTCTTGTCTGTACGTGTTTCTTTTACAGGTGAATAACCATTTTTTGCTTTTTCCTAAAATTTTCCTAAAATTATGTCAGAATTCATTAACTTAAATCTACTTTTTAGTAAAATTGAATAAAATTGTATAAACCGTTTGGAGTTCAATTTGCTGTCTAATTCTACAAATGAAATCACTATGTAACCTAGGATCCAAAATCAGAAAGTTTGTGATAATATGATAATGACACTATTATTATATTTTTATACAAATGATCAGAATTGAAATATTTTGTTTAACAAATAGTTTGAATGAGATAAATCGCTTTATGTCACACTTAATTCACTTTATTCTTTAAAGAAAAAGTTTTATGCTAAATATAGCATCGCGTATGTAGGCAATTGAGTGACGTCATTAAAGAAATTCCCATATGTGCGTATAACCCCCCTTACTGGATAATTTAGCTTCGTGTTTCTTGCTCTGTTTAGATCATTTGCGAAAACAATTCATGATAAATAATGTAATGAGATACTTCTACTAGTTGTTCCCTACAACGGTTTATTTTCTTGTCTAAGTAGAGAAAAAATATGCCAAGTTCGGCCAAAGTATCTCACGCAGTGCGAATGTTGAATCCACCATAATAAGATTCCTGAACAAGAAAAATCAATCGCGAACATGGCCGCTAAATATCACAGCAGATGACAACCAGGCCCTGGTAAGTTGTCTTTTTATCACGCATTCCTATATTGGAAAGTGTTGTTTATTTAGTTATTTACAAAATACGTGAAATCCTCATTTGTAGGCTGTAGTGACAGAACCCGAAGTTCACCGGATTCAAATGATCATGACTCATTGTGATTGACAATGTGGTAACCAATGTCGCTTGCTTCCGTTTTGTTCTGTCGGTGACATCAGCCTATTCCTGTGAGATGCTTTCAAGTTGAAGTTGAGTTTAATTATAAAGAGGTCTGCTGGTAATTAACCACTTCAAGTACAAGTCATATTGCTTTATTTTGTCATTGGTATAAGTTTCATCTTTTAGGGTATCTGACCCTTGAAAACTGACCATTTCTAGTTAGCCATTAACTCACTGGTCACCAATAAAAAGGGGGGTGGATAAGGGGTTGATAAATTGGTTTAGTCTTAATAACCATGTTTCTTTTCGCACAAACCCATAATTCTCGATACATGAAGCATATGATATAAATATACACTCATTTCAGTATGTTTATTCTGCAGTCATATAAAAGGTACAGCTAGATGATGTCCAGAGGAGAATGTTTAAATGAATAAATTATTGTTAATCGTGTGAATATCCTATAGAATCATGCCTCCTTCAAATATGTAATAGATTTGACATGCAGTCACATATTCCCAGTATCCCATTTTACTACTGTTGTGTTATGTGGACGCTCCCAGGAATGTGTATGAGAATACAGTATGGCACTGGACTCTGGTTTTCTTATAAGTCTTACAGTTGGTAGACTTTAATAGTAAAACTGCAGATGTACATTTACTTAAGCTTTCGCATTATGATATGATGATTTGAACCTGTATTGCAATGTCTTGAGAGAGCCTTGTTTGCTCTGGGATCTTCAGTCTCTTGATAGTTACTGGACAAATGTCAGTCTTGATTTTAACAGATTTAGCAGTAGGGTTTTTGAACAATGAAGTATTACCCATGTTAAATAAAAGTTTTTCATATTTTTAAGCTTAACTAAGTAGCTTTTTACTGGTGATGCATAAGTTCAGAATTTCTGGTTTCAATATATGATGTTTCGCAAAGATTAGGCCTTCTTGAATTCAACTTGGTCACATATGACACATGCTTTTTATCTCACATTTTTTCATATTTTTTATCTCTTATTGTGTGATATTAATATAACAATTTAGTAAAGCCAAATGGATGATATGTAATGACTTCTGAAAGTTACTTTCAATTTTGATCATGTAAGAAGTCTTCTCTGTAGAACTGCATATGGGCAATTACTTCATGGCTACAGCAGAAATAATTACTTCATGTCATTAAGTGGACTGGAATGGGTGCTTAACATGCCCCACGTCAGCCGTGAAAGGATAATGATCTGATAATAGCAAATATATTAAGGCACGTTTCCCATTTTTATTTACTGTTTGTAATAAAGTCATTAGTGTGAACATTGTCCTACATTTAACTTGGAATTTATAGCACGTTAAATATAATGTTGTAAAATCTATTTCTCTATTCATCTTTTCAGGCATAACATAAGTTAAATTACAAGAAAAAGATAATCATTAAGATGCACATTTACTGTTAATACATGTATTTTAAATGATAGTTTATATCCAAGTTAAATAAACCATGCTTGTACTCATATGTGATGAAGATCATATACTGGGTCCATTTTCTATTATGTTTGAACAGCTGAAAATAATAAAGAGTGAATATTATTGATAATATCCCCAAATTAAAGAAATGTTGTTAACTTCTTTATTAAAATGCTAAATTTGCCAAGCTGTTTCAGTTTAGCTATTTAAACAAAATTTTAACACATAATTGACCCAGATGCTTGGGATCTAAAATTACGCTCCCATTTTTATATAGCTGAAATCATATGAGACTTTATATGGTGTTAATGCACACAGATATGTATTTTTATATTGACACCCAGCGTCTTCTTAGATATCTCCATTTAAAACACTTGTATTTGCAATTCTCTCACATTTCTATGTTCCCTGGGCAGTAAACTCTTGATGTTATTCCTGACTAGACCACATTGGATCTTGGTAGTGGTTATCGCAATTACCCCAGCATGGCAGTGGTATTGATTTTTGCCTCTTTCTCTGCAAGTATTGATTTAGTTGCCTCTGTTTCTGCTGTGCCAGAATCCAGTGCACAGGGTTTTTGAGCATGAGTGAATCAGTGAAGCAATTACTGACTGACTGAAGACCGTTTCTCAAGGCCCTTCCCCCACGCACTCCGCGTGATTCAGAGGGTTCCATAACAAACGGGGATGACTGTCAGGGATTGCTCAATCCACTTAGACCTCAACCAAAACATTGAGAAGAGTGTGGATGTAAACAGCACAGTGTTTTTAAAGACTTAAAAGGATTTTGATGCTTCAAAATGGAATTAAGATGGATCAACCTTTAAAGTGATAAGGCAATTGTTGCTGTATTCTGAAACTGACTGTCAGCCACATTATTGAGAAGAGGTTTTTAGGTAAATAGCTTGTATTTGAAATATTTTGGATTATTTTTGTTTTTACCCAACGGAAAAATGTTAATAGGAACTTTTTGTTTGTGATATTTATGGAGTCAATAAAATCCAGTGGGGTTGGTCAGTTTTTGATTTTTACAATGGTATAATTGCTATATTCATACTTACTTAAGTCGTTTTGCATATATTGAATATGTAAGTTTATTTGCTGATAAGTATCTATCGAAATGTATATTGGTCTAGTATGAAAATAATTTAGACAATTGTTCTTGAAAATGTCAGTGTTTTCACTGTTACTGAGCTTTTTTTGGATAAATTCATACCTACGTGTATTCTCATGTGAGTTAAAAGAATGATGGTTTCGCCAAATTTACCAATATTGAACAAAATTTTTTGTGTGGCCATTTAACTAAAAGAAATTTTATCAGAGATTGGACCAATATCTAGTTCATGTGGACGAAGATAATTGATATATGCACTGTCTTCATTATCATGTTATCAGCTTCAGTGACAAAATTAACTTGTTTGTTGATGTCTGTGAAAGCATCATATAAGACTCCTTATCTGCAAAGTGCCTTTGAGAGTACTAGTAAATTTATTTTGATCCCATGGCCAGTTTTTCAAACAAAAGGATAATTGCACATGTATTTCACTTAACACGTTTGCCTGTATTTTCATAGGCTTTGGTACTTTCAACCTATTGTTTGAAACGTCAGTTGTATACTAAGTCAGTTCTAACTACTCATTGCTCCTCGATGTAATTGTATGTTGCCTACAGTGGAAGACACTTGTTGTAACTTGTACAAAGTATATTTATGTGGAGTATAGGAATACACATTCATTTTTATTTGTATAAACAAAGTCTTGGCATAGGTGTTAAAATGTGGCCAATTTATTAGTAATAAGAATAGAAACTCAGAGAAATAGAAATGGTCACTGCCATTTATGCTGCCATTTATAGTTTACAGGAAAAGCCAAAAGGAGACAGAATATACCTTGCCTTAAATAGTTCTTAATTGGACACGAACTCATAATACTCTACTTTGTGGCTTCCCTTTCCAGATGGTTAAAGATATTGAACAGCAAATATATTTGGCACACATTCAGATGTTGAATTATGGATTATCTTCTCCTTTAGCAAAGGACGTCACTGATGACTATGTATAGAATATAGATGATATTTACAGATAGCAATCTCACTTTCGTGCACTTTGTCATTTTGTGTTGAGATCAAAGAAATAACATTATGTTTTTGTCATGTTGCTTTTGGTAGTCAGTGAATTATTTATATCTTTAAAAAGATCCCTGGTCATTTAGCATAGTGGTTTAAAGTGTTGTTTGATTCAGTTTCATCTGTGAAGGTTGGGCAGAATAATTCATATATTTTATTAAATACATTTTTTTATTGCATAATGTGTTGGCACTCATACTGAGTTCCCAACTTTATTGAATTGAAATAGAATTTTCATGAAGTGTGAATTAATTTTCTACTCAGATGTATACTTGTAATTCAGGTTTTCCATGTGTTGACATGCCCAGCCTTATGTGTTCTTCAGTTGGGTGTCTGAAAAAAAGAGCTGTTTAAATTTTTTTTTATGTCAAATTATGGTGTTGAGGTTCCTGTGTCTTTTCCAGGCCACTTTGTCAACTAAGCCATAGGTAAGAGAGGTCATGACACTTGAAAGACCAAAACCTGTCCAAACTGTTGCTGCAGTGCAGGGCCAGAAAAATACAGTAGTCACTACAACACTTAATGTACCCAAGAAAGACGAACCCATTAATAGTCGTAATAGTCCAACTCATTTGAATGTGCTGTCATACAACACAGATGGGGACTCTGAAGATTTTTCAAAGAAATTTGAGAATAGGTGAGACAGAATGTTGAGACACTTGTATTAATCTGCATCAAATTATGGTAATTGTAACACCATCAGTAAGTGAATTGTGTTTTGGGAAATTTGATTTAACAATCTGAAACAAGTGCAATGAATTGGAAGATAATCGTGTGGCATTTGGGAATTGGAGTGCGTGTCATTTGAGACTTCCATAATCTAATGATTCTGAAGCGTGCTATTTGAGAGATGAAACTCGGACACATTCTTAAACATTGTATACAAGCTTGATCATTCTTAAGCATTGTGTTTTATTTAATCTTTCCAGCATGCTGCGCATTGAACAGGGTGTGGAAAACATTACAGTGACCTCTACTAAGACTGGACCTTCCACATGTACCTCCACTGCTACCACCCCCCAGAGTCTGCAGTCCAGCACATCTCAGGGGGAGGATGAAGAGGATGAGGGGAGTTCCCCTGGGGGAGAGGTTGACTACAGGCAGAGAGGGTTCTTAGAGAGCCTCGTGGGATGTCTGAAACCAGTCTGGTCTATGCTGGGAAAAACTGGGGCTGCAGATCTGGAACTGAAACAGCAACATCAGCAAGGTATGTTTGTAGAGAAGGTGAAATATTTTTACTCCTCAAGGATTTGTTTTGGTTACATTGCGATGCTAAACAGATGGCTTCTTTGATGTAGATTATTTCTAAGAGCAGTGATTTCGTGATCTGGTAAATTTGACTGATTCAGAATTGATATGCAAATGGGGATAACCAGCATAAGGAGGAAATGCCCTGTTTAATAGACATTATTGAACTTCTTATACTGAAGCCGAATAGACCAGTACAAAATATGACAAATATTGATGTGGATTCTGCCACATGTTCTTCACAGTGTTTGCTCCATTGTCCTGCGTGTGAATTGGTTTAAATCTGTACATGATACTCTAAATGCGGAAACACCATCTGACAAAATCAATACTTCCACAATAGCTTGTTTTCTGTGGTTAACCAAGAGGAATGTCAATTTTGCAGACTTCATTAAGAATTAAAAGGCATCGTCTCCATAATTCACATGTACTGTCAGTGTATCACATGACAAAATTTTTTTGATATTTGATTAAACTTAGAATGAGATTATGTTTAGCAGCTTTTACTATCTGATCGATGCAGGTATTATGTAAATCTTCATCTTCTATTTTCATTTTATTCATCTCCTCCCAATTCAGCTATTGCCCATTCATTCTTTTAATTCTCAACAAGACTCCATCACCAATGGCTTTCATGTGTATTTCTTAATTTTGAATTTACATTTCACAAAAGTTTCAGATAAATATTTTGATTTGTTTGTATACAGATGACTGGGAAATTCCCTTTGAGAACATCAAGGATCTCCAGTGGTTGGGTAGTGGGGCCCAGGGGGCAGTGTTCCTGGGGAAACTGGACCAAGACCCTGTGGCAGTGAAGAAAGTTAGGGAAGTCAAAGAGACGGACATCAAGCATCTAAGGAAACTGTTCCACCCAAACATTATATCTTTTAAGTAAGTTTTAATTGCTGTAAGTGTACGTACTTTTTATATAATGTTTACTGTGCTCATTCTTTTTCATTCTTTTCAGTTGATTGTTAATGAAACTTGCCAACACAAGCTTGTCAGCTTTGAAGAGCATTGCTTACAGTATCTCTGCATCATTTATGTCTTTGAATAATTAACAGATTCTGTAAAAGTAGATGTCATATTTTAAGCAAGGTGAAATAATATATATTTGTACTCTTGAAGGGTGTTTTATGTCTTATCCAGTAGAAAACAGACAGCCTCTGATCAACATCAAAGAGTGAGATATATATTTGCACGTGCCTGTCCTGCTCTTTTACTTTCACAGATGTTGATTCAGAAACTCACCAATGTAAACCTGTGATATTTGCTTTGTATTATGATGGATGACTTTAATTTGGTATGACATTCAATGTTTTATTTACTTGGAATGAATGAATAGAATCTATTGTTTCTGTCCTTTAGGGGAGTGTGTACTCAGGCACCATGCTACTGCATCATAATGGAGTACTGTCCTTATGGACAGTTGTATGAAGTTTTGCGGGATGGAAAAGAAATTCCCCCAACTCTAATTCTGGACTGGGCAAAACAGATCACCAGTGGAATGAATTACCTGCATTCACACAAGATTATACACAGGGACTTGAAGTCACCTAAGTAAGTTAAAATGCAAATGTAATTTCCTTGCCTGAAGCTTATCCCCAGTTTAAGTGGAATTATACATTCTAGAGTGTTGAAACAAAGTAGTTTGTCTTCACTGCTTGGGTGCTCTTTACATGCATTCATCAGGTTTAATTTTTCCTCAGTCCTATTCTGAATTTGGTATTTTGATGTTTATGGAGACTAATTCTTCAAACATCAGATATAACAGTTAAGATTTTGTCTTGGAGGAAGTGCCTTACTTAATAGATATACTATTTGATTGCAAGAGTAGGTTTTTGTGAAAAAGGCAAATCCCTACAAGTAAATTTGATCAAATTATTTTTTCAACAAATTTGGTGAAATATATCAAAGTGGATTAAATTTTGCCTTAAAATCCATAATTTTGCATTGTCACTTGTTGTTTAATGTGTATCAACAATTACAGGATCAGCACTGAATTCTCTTTGTGTCCCAGAGAAAGCAGTATATGCATGCATTATTAGACAGTCGTACTAGGCTAATAAATTATTTCCATGTCCAAATGGCTAATGTGTCCCTTGAGAAACTAACAAATGACAGGTTGTAAATTAGACTTGGAAATCTGATGGCAATGGTTGACAAACTCACAAGGGATCTCTGTTGAAAATTAATCCATGTCTTGACATCCACAGATAAAAAAGCTTGTTAAGGAGTAAAAAGTTGTGTAAATGAGTGTCTGTGATGCGTGACAGCTTCCCTTTCTGTTTTCTCATAAATCTTTAATGTTCTGCTTCAAGCGTTTCTCAAATTATCAAATTTTGTATTGAAACACAAATGCTAATATCCAATCCACTATTGTAAGCTGTTCAGTTTGACAGCTTCTCTACATGCCTCATTAGAACTGTAGGTAAATCACTTTACTGAAGATCCATCTTCCTTTATTCAGTACCACCTTGCTCTGATATTTTAATATCGTGTCTGTGGCGCCTTGGAGGGAAATGGGAGTCTATCTCATTACAATCAAATTAAAGCTGGTGCCAGCCAGTCGTTAACTAAATGTAGGTCACTTCTGCGGCATCTGAGAAACAGTTTATGCAAACAAGGCAGAGCTCTGCTTGAAATGAGGTACCCAGTCATGCAAATGGCAAATCAATAAAACTGAAGACATTACCTCCATACTGTATGCACAGTGAGAGAGTGCCATGTTAAATGGCAGCTGATGCAGGTTATAAAGTATGGAATTTGGGACAGCGTGCCAGTTCTTTATTTAGAAATGTTATTAGGTAATGCAGTTCATGATGTATTATCTCTGAAGGAAGTTTATTTTTTGTATTTAAAAATCCCTTGTATTTGTATGTTCTGTCTGCTCAGGAAAAGATCAATGCTTCCCATCCTTTCAGATAATGCAGACAAAATCAATCATGTATGAACTTGCCTTGTATCCATTCCCTCTTGCCACTTAGGGTTCAAATTATTTGTGAAGAAAAAAAAACAAACTTTCTATGATAAAGATCATATGAGGGCACTGATTATACAGACTGTTCTGTGCACATGAAGCTGTATGAAGTCCATCTTGGTTTATGAACTGCTGGCGGCATGGTAATCTAATATTCTTAAAAATGGCAGAATATTGATAGTTTCAAGATGGTCTGGCTCCAATCAGGCTCTAATGCCTTTCTTCTGTTTTCCATAATCTTTTCACTGTCTGAAATCTCTATAAAACTGTCTATAATGAATCCACATAACATTATTTACCTGAAATTGTTCTATTACCACTGAATAAATGAATAGATAAAACATTAATCAGATGTCATTATCCATTGGAAAGTGGAAGCATACTAGTAGATGGTTTGCACTTGGCTGTATTCCAGCAAAACCATACAAATGGAGTTATTCCAGATCCCAGCTATTATGATAGCTGAGGAAGAAATGCCACATATGAGATGCCCTTAGTAGTAGCCTGTAGAATTTTGATCATCAAATAGAGGTTTACATTGTTCATTGGCAGTACTACCAGTCTTGAGGTGCTTGTATAGGGTCATGAGTTCATACCGGTTCATCAACATTGAAACATTGTTGTCCTCAGCTAGGTGAAACACAATCCATAGTGCATCTCATTTTAGGACTAAACTGGATTCTGTCATTAATGTATTTTCTTTGCTTTCAATTGTTGTTTGATCATTAGTGCATTGTTCTCCACATAAAATGTTTTTAAGTCTATGATGTCACAGTATCGCTCAATCATGTCACAACACCATAAGGTTTTAGGTTACTAGGTGCTGTTCTTTTTACTAATGACCATTATCTGGACTAGACCACTCATTGCAAACTCTGATTAAATGATTTATAAAAACTTATGGAAATGATGATTTGTGCTCATATTTGACTTTCGTCAAGTATTCTAGCATTTAGTGAACTATTTTATGTACATTGCTCTTTATGTCTTTATAGCATACTTATATCAAAGAACGATGTGATCAAGATCTCTGACTTTGGAACATGTCGAGAGTGGAATGAAAAAAGCACAAAGATGTCATTTGCTGGCACTGTAGCTTGGATGGCACCTGAAGTCATCAGAAATGAATTATGTTCAGAGAAAGTAGATATATGGTAAGTGATTTTAATTGACTTAGTCTACAGGAACTTTCATCTCTTTATAGCATGAGTGCAAAATGTGCATGCCTGTATGCATGTGTGTGTTTCACTGATTTAAGCATTTTTTAAACAATTTTTTAGGTGTCATAAGTGAAAAGTGAAGGTAGATTGATAAATTGAATATATTTCAGTCTTCAAAAAAGTTTTCACTTTTATAATGTATACTATGGGAAGCATCTGGTAACACTAAAATTGTATATTCCCATTACCTTGATGGGTCAGCTTCCAAAATCCTCCATGGCCCCAGATGCTTTTTATGAATAATAAAAGTGACCTGTCTGTAATGCCATGTGTTGTCTTTCATAAATAGTAACACAGTTATTTTTATACCACAGGTCATTTGGGGTGGTTTTATGGGAACTCCTGACAGCAGAAATCCCATACAAAGATGTGGACTCCTCTGCTATCATATGGGGCGTTGGGAGCAATAGTCTCCATCTTCCTGTTCCTTCCACCTGTCCAGAGGGTATGAAGCTGCTTATGAGGCAGTGTTGGAGTTTTAAACCCAGAAATAGACCCTCCTTCCGCCAGATGATGATGCATCTTGAGATTGCTTCGTCAGAGCTAGAGAATATTCCCAGTGAAGAGTTCTTCATACAGCAGGTAGGTTTGAGACACGTAAACAGTATTTTGTAGAGAATAAATTTTGGGATTTTTTTTAAAGGAAAAGAATATAAAACAATCTTGCATGTTGTGCAGATTCTGAACTCGTTCTCAACAAAAGATATGTTTGTAAAAGTACTTTGTATACTGAAATATGAACGATTTAAAAAAAAACTTGTGGAATGATTTTTCAAATCGTCAATTTTGTTACAGAAATACTGGCAAGAAGAGATTAAAGAGCAGCTACAGAAAATAAAGAGTAGTGGCTCCAATTTACGTCCACATTTGGAAGAGGAACTAATTAAAAGGAGAAGAGAAGAATTAAGGTGAAATCATTAATATTTTCCATAATGTTTTATTAGCAATACTTCTGAACCAGTGACATATGCAGTTGAAACATACAGTTTGTTAACCACAGTTGCTCATTAATAAACGGTTTCAAAAAAAAAATATATATATAATAATAGATAAATAAATTTGTGGCAAAAAGACTGAGGAACAATGCACAGTAAACCAATGGCATTTCAGACATGCTCAGGATGTGAGAGAACATTATGAAAAGAAACTTGAGAGAGCCAACAACCTATATATGGAGCTGACAGCATGTATGTTACAACTTGAAAAAAGAGAGAAAGACTTACTGAGGTAGGTATATTTGTGGTGTTTTTTTTTCTTTTTTTTTTTTTTTTACCTTAATAGATAAGGAAATCATGAAAGAGATTTTTATTATTATCAATATTATATTAAGGTTTAAGACTGAAGTTTACCCCCAAGAAAATTGGGAGCATAAAAGTGAACAATAAAGTGAGAACATGGCAGTTAAGAGCATTGAATTTTATGTGTGCACTTTGTAGTTCAGATTTTGAAGTGTCTTATTCGATAATACAAGTAAATTTGATAGCTAAACTGGAAAAAAGGAGAAGCCCTGGGGCTCCATGTGCCCAAGAGCTTAGTATTTTCAAGAAGGAAAATAGATTATACTTGAGTATGCCATACCCTTAAATAGTAATCTGATCTTCTGATTACAGGAGAGAACAGTATTTGACAGAAGGCAAAGGGAGGAGACCCAAGAGTATTCTCAAACCAGTTATCAAAGCTCAGGAGAAAATGGAAAGAAATGCCAAGAAGCGTTACAGACCAACATCTATAGACAACAGGTAAGATTCTGAGTGATAAGTAATCAAGGGATAAAATGCATGCATTGGACTGAGATGCGGTGTGTTGCATTAGTATGGTATTGAAAAATGCATGAAATTGCAGCCTGAATACTCATGCTCACATTGCTTTTACATTTTAAAGTCAATTGGAAAATTGAAAGATTTGCTGAGATATTAGGGTATAATTACTGGGCACATGCTTGCAAAAATTCTCATTTCCCAAAATTTATTTTAAAAAAAGTCTCACAAAAGATATATCGATATTTATAATTGTTTTTCTGCTACATTGATATTGGCTTGGGTCAAAAGTCCATGTTGACTAGATTTTTGAGAAAACTTGAGAAGACATTCATTTATCCAGCATGAGCCCAGAGTGGGAGCACCTGCTGTATTGCCAAATGCTTATCAGCATACAATTGCATGCTATTTCAGTCCTACGTCACCAGGCAAAGAGAGTCCATTAGGCACAAACCCTGACCAGCCCTCACCAAGACGCATGCGCAAAATACGTCATCGTCGTAACAACAGTCGAGGCTCAATCAGTCAGATTCTTGCTACCTCTAGTAGTCCCATGAAAACTTCTCCAGAAGTGGATGCTGCTGAAGTTGCTTCCAATAAAATTGCTGGATTTGTCATTGATACTACCAAGTTTTCGCCGTCAGGATTTAGATATCTTGGACCTGGCACAGCCATAAGGGAAATAAATGACCCTGCCCAAAAGCCCGAGGACTCAGTTCCCCATGCAGCAGCAGCTTACTTATTTTCAAGAGAGCATAATATCAATGATGTCTGCTTTGGCTGTGATGGGAGCTGTAGTGACCCATCTTGTAGCAGTAAGAGGACAACTCCATCTGGTGACCAACCTGACACTGGCACCAATCCTAGTGCTGTGGCAAGCCCAGAACCTGTAGACACTCCAGAACCTTCAAATGAGATTGTAAATGACTTGAATGACAAGCCAATGATAATTCAAAACTCTAATGAAAATACCGAGTTAGATTATAACAGTAACAATGGAGTTTTAAAGCTAAGAGGGCATTTAGACTCTGATAGTAATACCAACTCTGATGCCATGACTAACAGTATGACAATGAAAAGAAGTGTCAGTGACTCTCCGGATGTTCCTAAAAAGTTGCCTGCCCATGCCATTAGTTGTGACACAACAGATTCTGAGGCAGCAAGAGATGGAGTGCTGAGTTCCTCACCCAGGGTGGGTACATAGAAATAGCTTAGTCCCTGGATGCATTTTAAATATTGACTTTTTAGTAGATTTGAAAGACTGCAGTAATGGAATCACTCTTGACTTGTGCATGAACTTTGATATTTACTTGTTAAGTGGGATTACAAACCCTGCATTAACGGGATGTTTTCAGCCATGCATGCATTTGGAAAATGTCTGAAAGAATATTTTAAATGCTAGAGTAAAAGCATTTGTTTTTTCTTCTGCTTGAGTGCCACTTTGCAATATTAAATGCATGTGACTTCAGCTTGCATGTGGTTTACTATTGTTAATTGTCTAATGCACATAAACATGCTTACCATTTTAAAGCTATTTTATTTATTATTTATATCAAATTCTTTATAGGGAATACATGATCCCTCATCCGAAGATGAAGGTGATGGAGAGGACAGTGACTTTGATGGGATGCGGTAAGTATAGTGCCTCTGTGTCTATAAAAGTGTTTATCTCCAGCCCTGCCCATGGTTGTATCGACTATTACTGTATTTATTAATCAAAATTTGTTTATCATCAAATTTATTTCATAGAAAGTATATATGTTTTGCATATTATAATGTCAGAAGTCTAATTCTCTGTTTTGGAACTGTTTCAAGGTTTTTATTTATTTATTTTATTTTATTATAATGTTTTCTTCTTACAGTCAAAGAAACCATGTACCTCACCGCTCCTGTTCAGTCAGCTCAGCAGAGAACTTGTCCGAGGATGAGAACACTAGTGACCACTCCTCTCGAAACACCCCAGAGGGACTCCTGTCCACTCTGAGCACTGAGAATCTTCACCAGGAACTGACCAATGGAATGGCTGACAGCTTGTCAGATAAAGAGTGTGCCATGAAGAGAATCAAGAGTCAAGTATCGAATTCACCTAGCAGGTATAAGGTGAGTACATTTTTAGTGGTATCTTTCCATTTTGTCAGAGAGACTGTTGTTCTTAACCCCATACATTGGAACAAATCCAACATTGGAACATATCCAACGGTGCCAAGCGGGTATTTTTTCCAAATGCGATCAATAAGCATACGCAGACACTAGCCATTACCATGTAGGTGCATAATGCTAACAAAGATTTAACCTTTTTCAGACTGTTATGGCAGATTCTTCAAGTTCTGAGAGTGAAGATGGTTGTGCCAATGAGAGCAATTTAACCAGGAGCAGCTCTGAGGACAGGTGGTTTCATGGATTACATTCCTAGCCAAGAAGATAGAGTTTTATGTCAGATTGTTTTGCATAGCTTTTAGAAGTGCTCAGGAGGAAATGGTGAATGTGCTCTATTTTCAGAAAGTAAATCCTTTAGATCTTGCTTGAGAATGAATAGCTCTGAATCATTCAGTTCCTTTGATCTGAGGATATGTGTAAATTCTCAGTCATGTATTGAACCTGTCTGGGATTGGTAGTATACATTTTACCCCAGAAGGATTTGTAGCAGGATTGGGATTGGCTTAGTATGTTAACATGCTTTCAGATATGTGAAGGAACATGTAATAAGTGGAAGGTGTTTTGTTTTAATTGTTATTATATTGGGGTATCCATTATCTATTATCTGGAGAATAGTTGTATGGCAGATGCAATGTCTCATGCACTTTTCAGCCAAAGAAAAAGATGATAATGACATTTGTTGGGTTGCTTCACATAAGATGTTTGATGACAAATTGGGTAACCAAATACCTTTTGCCCTTTGAAGATGTTTTTTTCACAAATGTGGTAACCAAATACCTTTTGCCATTTGAAGATGTTTTCTAAATACATGAACGGTCTTGTAAATAACTTGCATAAATACAATTCACATAATCAGTTGCATACATTTCAGTTGGGGCTTTGAGCCAGATTTCAGATGTGTAGATTTGTTAGATGAACTGGACAATTGGAATGTTGAATATGAAACAGATTTTTCTGCAGTTTCTGGTGGTACTCAATTTTTTGTATCAGAATGGGTTTCTTTAGAAGACAAAACCAAATGATTTCATATATACTTGTATATAGAGTAAATTGGTATATAATAAAATGCTGCATTTGCAGATAAGATATTTAAAAAGAATAATAATGTTATAAGATTTGTTGTTTGGATATTTTGTTGCCTGTCCAGATTTTACAGTTGTAGCAAGAGAATTATGCAAAGCATGAATGTGTGCTCTTCAGTGACGATGAAATTGTGAAAGGATATATGTTGGAGGATTGTAGTACATTCCAAATACCATTGTAAACATAATCAGTAAATTACACTGATATAGGTAGAAATCTATTTTTGTGATAATTCTTGTTGTATATATAAATGGTCAACAGTATCAAGCTTGTGTTCATAGAAGATTTAGAAAGTTGAACTGGCATCCTTATTTTTATTTACACCAAATCAATGTTAAGTTGCTCAGGTATTTGCTGAATTCATTCCATCGTTTTTCTGGAAGAGACAAGAGATGGAATTTTGTTTAGTAACAAGATTTCAAAATCTTTCATTAATTTTTAGTTTTCACTTTATTTAAGGGAATTTGAAAACACGGTCTTCATTAATGAATTAGAAATTTTACATTGATTTTTACACACAATTTGGAGAAAAAGGAAATCATGCAATGTTATTTGTGAAACTTCAAGCCATCCAAATTGTGAAATTGTCAGTTTTAAATAAATTCTATCAAGTACAAATTTTATTAAGTCTCGGTGATAAAGTAGTCATGTTATTGTGCCAATTAGGAATAAAATTATAGAGAAAACTGATCTCTGTCAATCCAAGCCATATGGTTTCCTCCTCAGTTGATGTCATATGTTAGCCAATGTAGAATGTTTGTGATCTCCATATTAAACATAAATCATGAATAAATGATTTTAAGACTGCTTCACTTTTTGCTTCATTTATTTACCCTTTTCTATGCAACTTGAACAAACATTACAGATTTAATGATACATCACTGTGGCCTATATTTCTCTGCAGATGTTATCAAGTTCAATATGATCTAAAAAATGAGACTTCCTATTAACTTTAAAACTAATAAGTGATTTACTTGTCCTGTTGCAGCTGGTTTACAAGCTACACAACAACATAACTTAGTGAAGGTTAATGCTGGAATTCTTATGCTTGATACATACTGGTACCCTGGTTGAAAATTGAATAATATATCAAATGTACAGCTCTAAGTAGGCCAACCTTGAAGTGTCTGTCCTGGGTCATTAAAATGCTTTCTAGTGACTAGAAATGTGGTTTTACATTAATTAACAGAAAATAACCTTTATATGGGCCATTCCGTGGTATTTGGTCCGTAGAAGTCAAAATTTGAAAAAGGTATCCTACTTATAAAACTTATAATTTCTGAAACCAGACACCATAAGACACCAGAATCCAAAAGAAATTTTAGGTTCTGATGATTAATTATGATTTTATTGACACTTTTATCTGGAAAACTTATAAAATAGTGTCACGGAAGGACATTTTTATTTTTGATATATTTTTCAAAATAGAGATCATTTTAAACAATAAAGGCTAAATACATTAAATATAACTTATTTCTTACATTTAGTCAAGTGCATTAGATTAAAAAATATTTGATTATAAAATAATGGATTAATTAATATCAATTTGTCCTTCCGAGATGATTTTGGTACCTATTTTTAAAGTTTTCTCAGTAACTACAAAAGCTAAAAACTTATAACTTCATATTCTCCTCAACCATGATAGGGGCCAACAAAATATGAAAACATTTTTGCTTAGAACCACTTCA